ATTCAAGTATATATATATATATATATATATATATATATATATATAACATATCTGCTTTTAAAGCAGATAGATGTGCTTATAGAAAAAGGAAGGTTTTTACTTTGTGTTTGTATAGCGCACACGCGCGCGTAATTATCTGTATATAAACTGTATGAAATTATTAAACTATTCCATTTGTGAGATCGACATTTTTTTTTCTTTTCATCTTCTGGGCACTGTTAATAAAGAGGAATAAATTAATAATAATGTGTTACTTTCGGTTTTTAAAGCTTCATGTACAATCTCGCTATGTAATAAATACATATCTATAAAATTTTCTTTATCTTTTGCACTGTAATGTCCCTGTAGATTAACATTATCTAGGAATAGAGAGAATATAATGGAAAAAGAGTATTTAAAAGGGTTTTATAATTTAATACTTTAAATGTAAAAACGAAAACAGTCTTCATCTTGTCGCAGCGCAGCTGATCAAACTAAAGGAGGCAAGGGAAAACAAGGACGGATCTAGACATTACATGCGTGAACCCTTCTGCTGCAAAACCTAGAATGTAATCCAATAATCTAAACTTAATAAAATTGTATTAATCTCACTTCACTTATAACTATAATGCTTAACACTAATTACAAGATCTATTACGGTAAATTGAAGTTATATAGTTTTATTATCATATAAAAAAAATTGTTCCGCCTCTGCTACATATTGTTGTCATAAACCACAATAAAATAAGAAATATCAATACGCTAATCTAATTATAGCTATATACTTTGCTCCCCAAAAGCTACCTTTATCGAAAAGCAAACCCATATTGCATTAGTATACACATTAATTTAATACTATCTTCTATATTGTATAAATAACTGTACATAAACTATTGGTGGTAAAATATACACTGTAGACAATTCACTCTTATGTCGCATAAAGGATATATGAATAATTTGGCATGCAATAATGATTCATGCAGGTCATACGGGGCATAAAGTATATATATAACCACAAACCAATGAAAGAAAAAATTCTTTATTCAATGAACGGCATGCGGTACAATAATAATAATAATAATAATTATATATAGTACATACAACAAATATCAGAGGCAGAACATGCTCATGCGAACAGGCCTCTGAGCTTTACAGATTATTAGGCGGCTCTTTTCAGTTTAATATAGCTTCAAAATATAAAGCCTATGTGATCAGATATATATATATATATATATACATATATATATATATACATACACACACACACACACACACAATATAAATACATATAAAACAAAACAAAAATTTGATCAACAGATTTTTATTCCAAATTTGGTCTGAAGAAAATATTAAGCCACCTAATAAAATCTGTTGCTGAACATTTCACATCTACAACAAAATTGTTTTCCTTTTCATTTGGTCCCTTTATAAAACAATTAAGCAAAATAATTCAATTCTAAGCAATCGTCAAGAATATTATACGCAGAAAAATGTATTGCTGAATTAAGCGTAAGTGACAAAACATGAGATAAAATTCAATCTCGTAATAAATGTGTATATATAAATTATTTTTATCGCGTATATAGTGATAAAGCTCATCTTTGGTTTTCTACCCAACCCAATCCAACCATCAGTAGAGGCAAATTGTTAATATCAAAAATAATACTGCTTGTTTTAATTTTATCTTATTAGAATTGATAATAAAATGTGTGTTATTTAATTTTACAATAGCGTTAGAAATCAAGAAAAATCAATGTTGGATTGCAAGAGTAGATCTTCAGCATATAATAATAGATACCGCTTATGGAGCGCTTAGAAATTTATAATATCTTTTCATTCAGACAGGAAAGCATTCGCATTTCCATATAAATAAATAGATGTTTATTGCCTTAATAATCTCATGCGATCCAACATGGAAAACAATAATACCGACACAAATTACTTTGGGGATACATGGTTTTACTTAAAAATGGTGAAGGTACTTAGTAAAAACGTGATTGAATAGCTAATAAATCTGCGTCTATCATATATCAGCTTGGATATAACAAAAACATAAAAATGATCGCGTCAGTCATGGCTACTTTGGCTCAAATAAGGATGGGAGACAGTCGAATAGGATAGCGGTACCTTGACGCGATCCGTAGATTCCTCTTCTTTACAGCTGAGCTGACTAGATCCATATTCTCTGCTTACCACACATAAAAATTCCGCGTGATCATCATTACCATAGTTATATTGAGAACCTATGTTGATTAGCTATAAAAACAGAAGAAAAACAGCATTTATATTAAAAAAAAAAAGCAATAAGAAATGCCATTGCAGGTCACTAATAGTAGGTGCACAAAAAATTGTATAAATAATTACTTTCCAGCAAGAAATACAGTATAGCACAGTGATCATTTCATCTTTGTTTAACATCGACAAACAATAAGAACCTAATGATTCACTGTATTATACACATATCAGATTAGAAATTGAAATTGAGAATAAGAATGAATTTGACCAATCAAAACAAAGTTTGTTAAATTTTGTATTGGTTTCTTTTCTTCCAACTAATCAATTTCAATCTTAATCTTAATTCAAATTTCTAATCTGACAATGAAAAAACTAGTGCGACACTGGTACACATTGAGTACAATTTAATGCAAATCAATTCACATAATTTCAATGTTAATAAATAAATTAACTCTTTTAATTACATATTCTTTGTTGTCATGATAACCTCATAATCTAATAAAAATTAAATTATTTATTAATATTGAAAAATATGTAAACCAATTTGTACTCAAAACCAGTATTGCTTTAGTTTTCCCAATGAAAAATGTTATCATATCATGTTGCTTGCTGGAAAATACTCAATGTTTTAGTTAACAAAATCATAAATTAAATATAAATTGTTAATACCTGTTCAAATCTCCATCCATCCGACATTGTGGACACCATCTGTGTCAGCTCATCCTCGTGACACTGGATAACTCTATAGACGTGCTTCTTGGAATCCCTCTGCGGTCGAGTGTCCCTCAGAATAATTCTCTCTTTGACTAGCCGAATTAGTTCAGTGATATTGTAAAACTCAGCTTCTTCCAGCACACCTTCCTCCGTTAAATCCTTGTTGATAACCAATTTACCATGACGTAAATAGTTCAAGATTGGACTGAAGTACATGGGATCGCGGTCTATCAGGTACGCTCCCGTTTCATCCTTGGGAAAACAAAACGGAAAGTCATTCACACCGCATTACGGTAGGGGAAGCGCAAGGGATCTCCGTTGGGGAGAAGTTCGTCGTCATTCTCAACGTCAATGTGGACGATGAAACACGACGATTGTTCGGATGGATTCGTTTGAAATTCCCGGTAAGAAACAGTGTCAACTAACCCTGTCTGAAATAAGATCCGAGTCCTCCTGACATAACCGATAGAGAAACGAGTTCGGATCCCTTGCCAGGGTGGTCTTCGCTGTCAGGAAGTACGTCCCGCCCACGTTCAGTCGCACCCACTGATTCTTGCACCGCTTACCGACATGATTCTCTGTCATCTCGTGCGAGTTCGTATCGCTAAATTCCGCCATACTTGCATTGGCATCAAATTGACATTAAAGGGAAAGTAGATCAGGTTGGGTCACGGGCTCGCGGGGTGGCTGGTCAGTGCAGCGTCTTAAATCCGTTGAAGTATAATTTGGAAAAAAACGGAAATTGGCTAACAGCTGTAAAACTATGATCTGATTTAATAGTTATATCATTTTGCAATTTTATTTGGTAATTTTAGAATGATCGTAAAATTTCAAAGCATATAATTTACCTGCAAGAATATTGAATCAAATAAGTAGCTAATTATTATTAATTTCATTTCTCTTTTATTATTATTTTATAGTTTCACAAATTTCCAATTGTATTATTAATTATTCCACTTCCGATCCACTTACGATATTGAGATACGATTCAATTGCAAGACATACTTATAATTGTTTCCAGTAACATTGCTAAATATTAAGTAACTAATTGTCGAATAATTATGTGCGGATTTATTTAACGATAAAGTGAAAATAACAAAATTTATTCGGATTTATTACTTATTATTTATTCTGAACGTTCATTCAGATTCGAAACGGATTCAAACGGCTGCCATGTTTTCGAGGAGAGCTTCCGGCGTCAAGTTTGCGGCTTCCGGCGCTCGTCGTTTCGAGAGCGGGTAACTTTGGACGCTTCTCATTGAAGTTTTCCTCGTCTGGCCGTTTTTACGATAAAGAGAGGAAAGGGTGATAAAGAAACGACGCCGCGGACGGCGACGCGTCACGCGAGACACAACACTCCTGAGATCAGGAGAGGACTCCTCGTTCGAGGGGGGGGGAGGGGGAAACCATCAAGTACCCCTGGACTCGCTCGTGGTCTGGGTTCGAGGCTCGGTACATAAAAACGTCCGTACCCCCGCAGATTACCGGCAGTCATTGCGACACGATCACTCTATCGTGATATGCGGGGCGCCGCGTCGCGCGTCGTCACCGTCGCCGCCGCCGCCGCCGCCGTCATCGCCGTCGCCGTCGCCGTCGTCGTCGTCGCCGTCGCCGTCGCCGACCACAATTGAACGTCGCACTGCACGCAAGTTCGGAGCAACGCCGTGCGAGGATGCCGGTGAAGGTCGACGTGGTTCCACCGCCACCCGCGAACTCGAAGCAGCCGGGTGTCACCAAATCCCTGCTCTACAACGGCTCGCGCTTCCAAGGCTCGCAAAAGTCGAAGGGCAACAGCTACGACGTGGAGGTGGTTTTGCAGGTTAGTCGTGCACTCCTTGCCGTGTCCCCTCTCCCTGACCCGATCGCCATCCGCGCCGCCGTTATGTCGTCATTTTTCGGAAATTGCGCCACAAATTGGCGAACGTGATCCCATCGAAATGGACATAGAGGAAACGTTCTCGACGACGGCAAGGATGCCTGAAACCAATCGTTTCTCCTCACCTCTTTACCCTTTCTCTCTCCCTTCCTCTTTGCAGCGGATAATTCGCATATTTGCGTACAATTAAAGTTGATGTAAGCTGGAACAGAATTGTTTATGGTACACATGGGGTGAGATCAGTTTAATTCTTTATATCGGGATTTGTCCCGTTGCAGCATGTGGACGAGGAAAACAGTTATCTTTGTGGATATCTGAAGATCAAAGGTCTTACAGAAGAGTTTCCAACACTGACGACATTCTTCGACGGCGAAATCATCTCGAAAAAATATCCCTTTTTGACTCGCAAATGGGATGCTGACGAGGATGTTGACAAGAAACACTGGGTTCGTAAGCTTATCGCTCAAGTTGCCATATGTAGTTTGTCACCGATATTATGCCTGTATTTATTTTTCTCAATCTTATTGTAGAGTAAATTCGAGTCGTTCTGCCAATACGCCAAAACGTTCAATTCCGATACATTTGATTATGAGGCACTGAAAGGAACGGATTTTGTATTTATGAGGTGGAAGGAGCACTTCCTGGTACCTGATCATACGATCAAAGATATCAATGGTGCCTCCTTCGCAGGATTTTATTATATTTGCTTCCAGAAATCCGCCGCCACGATAGAAGGCTTTTATTATCATCGTAGTTCCGAATGGTAAAACGCTATATTATAAGTTAGAATATTAAGTTAGTATTATTAGTTAGAGTATCGTAAGTGGTAACGTTAATTACTTCTAATTAGTTATATTTGATTTCTGGATATAATAATGTTGTATTTAAGAAAAATTCATAACGCGAATATACAATACGAAATTATTAAAACGATACTTTTATGTACATTGTTTCAGGTATCAATCCTTGAATCTGAGACATGTTCCAGAACACAGTATACAAATTTACGAGTTCAGGTGAAGTCGATACCTTTGCTGAGAAATTTCACGATATTCGCGTCTTTTCTTTTTTAGCATACAGATCTCATAAAAATTTCGTCCTATAAATCTTATTAGAAGTATCATAATGAGTCTGTTTATTATTCGTGACATACCTCACAATTCTGGGGAAGATTTACAGTGAAAAGTAATCGGGATATCCTCTTAGTCAACTATGTCAAAAATCGTTCAGATTATGAGAATTGGAGTGCCTATTTAGTGAGTGATCGATTGTGAAATAATTAATTCAACATGATTGATTGTAAAACGATTTTTAGTCGAAATAAATTATCTGATGCATATCATTTTAAATTATTGGTGTTTGTTATTCAGTAGTCTGATAAAGACTTCAAAATATTTGTTTGTGTTTATTGTTATTGTATGCATGATTCAAGTACATTCAATATTTTGGCATTTAATTTTGATCACTGACAAGCATATTAAAAAGTTTATATGTGCATGATATTGTAAAATCGACTATTAAATTGTTTTTACGAGTTTCGTAACGATGATGAGAATAATTACATTATTTTGTGAGCAAATTTTTTTTGTTTCACATTGTTTAAAAGATTTATGAGATCTGTTTACTACATTAGAAAAGATCAAGTGTAATTGTTGTTTGAATGAAGCTGTACGTATGTCTCAAGGAAAAAAGAAAAAACGGAAATGATAATCGCGAAAGCTATATCGAGGTTTGATCTTATTTTATGTTAAAAATTTATTTATTTTATGCGATTAAACTATCTGACTCTAATGTATTTTATACATACATATATAAAATATATGTATACCTGATTTTAAGAATAGGTATTAGACATATGTTGGCTGTTCGTAAAACTTGTCTTCATATTTTTAATCGAATGTTAATTAAATGTAACAATTCCCTTAGGAAAATAGTACACCGTTGTGATAAGCATTACTATAATTATGCATATATATATATATATATATATATATACGATTGTATATAAGTTAAGCTGTAATAGAGGTAATCGTGTAGCTTATCCGAGATTTATATTGGCATACTACAGCTCTCATTTGCGTGTGACGTTTACGAAACCGTTCTCGATCACCAGTGATATTGATGTTTCAAATGGCATATTATTTTCGATATTACTTTTTATTTAGCGTTGTTAAATACTAATAATTTTGTTTTTTTTTATATTTGTTCTAATTAATAATTTACCTAAATACTCAAACTGATAGAACGGTCATGTACTGTTTATAATAAAAACACATACCGAATCGATAAGTTCATGTAACAAACAGTCACTTTGGATATTGGAAAACGTAGGTATATACGTATAGGAGATATACTATATATTTAATATAATATATCAGATACCTTGAGAGTACACTGATATTGTTAATTATGTTAAGTCGACCTTTATTATAAAAAAAAAAACTACTGTTGTCACATCCCTATAAGTTATATGTTGTTGTGTTTCTTTGAGAAGAATTATCTTTATATTATCAGTTATTGATATCGATATTACATATATGAACATACCGTGCAAAATGTCATCAATCTGTTAAATTTTATTTTTTCAGTATTTTTTTTTTTATAAACTGTGAAACTTCAATTTTAAAGATATCTGAATTTAATTTTTGCTTTAAAAATATACAACAGAAAGTATAACATTTATTGATGATAATCATTTACTACACAATTATTTATGAAAGGATCGTTTGAATACTTGTTTTATAAGACGTCTATGGGTTTATAAATATTCGATTTATTTTCATTATACAATCGCATGTGCTTTAAACACTGGAACACAATTATAAATGAATATAAATTAAAATCGGGTTTCGCTATTATATAAATAGAACCACTGCGTAGGTGGAAATACATCGATGTAAGTTACAATGCTCAAATTGACAAGAAAGTAGTATTACAAGTTACTAAAAAAGACAATTTTGCCAATTCCAGTGATTGAGTTTAATAAGAAACTGTTAAAAAGTCGATTAATAAACTGTAACTAAACCGTAGTTAAAAAAAGCTAGAACGTGTTTACTATATACAGCAAATGTATGAAACAGGCTCTCTACTCAACAAAATTAGTATTTCGCTATTAAATTAGAAGCATTTTGGCAAACGGGACGGCATTTTCCATTCTTCCCTTTCTTAAAACATGGCCCCCTTTAAGTGAATATTCCTTCGTACATGAAAGATGGCATTATCTTGTAACAAAATGTTTATATATAATTAAAACGTGTGAATTCTATTTATTAAAGAAAATTTGGTATTTCGAAATAGGAAGTCCGTTTTCAAATCTTTACATATCGATTACATGCACTGCATAATGCATTAATGTGAAGTTAAGTTTATTTAGTACATCTCACAGACAAGTAAGCACATCGTGTTATATATTCATATAAAACAATATTATAATATAGTTCTTTTTTTTTATATACACAGAATATAATTTAGTTAAATCTAACGTAATATAAATATACATCTCATGTGCTTTCCTGGCATCGAGTGATTTGTTACAGACGATGTTGTTAGAGATCGAGTGTGTTTCTACCTATCTATCTATCTATCTATATTACACACAAACGCATCTCCTGCAATCTTACACTGTACATGTGTATGTGACTTACATTTAGGTAACATAAAATAAGACGATACTTTTAAATAACGTATTTGGGGAAGGGAAGGTCCGTATTTCGTTGAACACGGACGAGAATAAAGTTCGTATCGCTTTGCGCGATTTACAATTATCGGGGAGAGATAATAGATAAAAAAAATGAGGAAATTATTCGATCTCGCTCGATCAACATAATGCAATGGTAAAAACTCGTGCCGTAGAAAGAGTCAATTTTATTGCTCTTTATAAAACCGTCTTCTTAAAAAATATATAGCTCTTCCGCGCTCGGTAACCGGTAGTTTCCAATAAAACGG